ATTTTTAAAAAAACTGACAAAACCAAGCTGAGATTTCTACCCAGAACTGAGAAAAACGAAAAAAAAACGATGCTCCAGCTAAAGTATAGATTAAATTCTTTTCTCCCCTCTCTTTGAGAGAGATATAAGGTGAACTATATAATTAAAACCCTGAAGATACCTCATGGTAAGATTTTCTTTATCAATCTAAATCTCAGATGACAACTCTACCTTCGATAAAAACTGTTCACACCCAATACCCCTCCCAACTCTTCTCCTTGTACAACAAAAGCATCCTGTTTAAAAAAAAGATAATTAATGACAAACTGTTCAATGAGAAATGATAACAAAGATGCGAAAGTAATTGTAAAAATTAAAAAATTATAGTTTTTTAACTCTGCTCAACGAATTTTTATTTAGTTAATATCCAGTTGCATCACACCCACCTTGTTATTGTGATATGTTAAATCCTGAGACCGACGCATGAGGTATCCCGAAATATAAGCTAAAAAAATTTGAGAATTTTAAAGATCTATGTAAGATTTTAAACGTTTTTTTTTGAAAAAAATATTTTGTTTGGTACCTTTGATTTCCTCTAGTGTGAACACCGACTTAGAACCCACCGGTAAATAATCTCGCATCAATATCGCTCGTAAGGCTTCACTTATAAAGAATGTATTCCCAGCCTGCATCCAGTCTGTAAAGATTGATGAGCTCCCTGTAACTCTGTGGATCCGAGACCCATTGCAGGCAGTCACAAGACCACACAAGATGCCCCGTAATTGTGTGGCATGAAACACCCGATTTGAAGACAAACTATTTGTCAACCGTACATTCGACCAAATCATAGAAGGATTGGTGGCATCCCTTAAGCGAAAGTAACTGATATATTTAATTATCAAGTGTTCCAAGGTCCCAAGGCAGATACCATTTGGATCACGACCCAGCGACCGGATGAACCCAGCTAGCTCGCTGTCCTGAGGTGCTTGGACCATCAAAGTATCAGTACTTGACATTATACTCATTCTGAAATAATCACACAAAAATATGCACAATACACTCACAATATAAAAAGAGCCTAACACCAAGGAAGACTGTGCTGTCCACTAGACTTGAAGCATCGCTTTCTTGGTCGGAGCGCAAGTTTAAAACGCTTCCGTTCTGCCACTAAAGATATGGTACCATCATTTACCCGCTTCATCGTGTTCACACTAGAAACCAGAGACACCCCATTGGATTGGAGTTGCATCCCCTCCTCCAGAGTAAAACTGCTTAGGTTTGATTTCTGGACACCTTTCATCCTTGTTTTGATCAAACAATCAGATTCACCCAAGAGAGTGTACATTTTCTCCCCGAAAATTGTACACCCCAGACAGACATTTTCCAAAAGCAAGTATCCACTGAGTTTAGTGGGACTATCCACGTACCTTCCAAGCTGAGCCAAAAATTCTTCACGCAATTCAAAAGGAACGTTTTCTTCCAGAGTGTCATGGGCAAGACTCAAAAATACAGAATCCGTATCACAATACACTAGCTCGGCCATCCGAGGATCGAGGTAGCGTAACAAGAACATCATACTCTCCAGCAAGATCACCTTGGAGGTTCCCAGAATTGTAGCGCCAACTCCAATCAACGGAGAGCTGACACAACTCTCAGAGTCATAGCTCCGACGAGTTACAACAGCATACGAAGAGGATATCTTGTTGATTCTTAGAATGTTTTCAGGATGTCTTTCAAGCATCTGGCGTACCCTTTTTAACCCGAGCTTAATCTCACAACTAAACGGAGAGGAGGGACTGTTTATTCTCGCTAAACAGTACCCATACACTCCATTCAAAAGCAACTTTAAAAAGTTGGCTTTCGCCATGGACACCAAGGTGTTTTGCAGCTTGAGCTCCCTTCGCAGTTCCAAGAAATGACTGATTTGAGCTCTGAGATAGGGTCTATGAAGAAAGAACACACCATGCAAGATGAAGAGGTCACCATCAAACCCAAAGGATTTGTGAAGATATCTCAAACAGGGTTTCCAATCAAAAAAATGAATTTGATTAATGACTGTGCAAGTTCGCACAAAACTGGTTCAGTATTGATTCAAAACTAATGGGGGATAATTTTAGTAAGTTCAAACAAAAAAATCTACTGTTTTCTTAGAAACCCTAACCTCAAGTAACTGGTATGTACTACATGTATGCCCATAAAAGCATTTGTCCCAATGATGCCAACACCACCCTTATCTGCAGTCAAGGTTGGGACATCAGTCATTGACTTTGGTATACGATCACACCTTTGAATACAGACACCCATGTGCTCAGATCGAGCATTCTGCGCAATCTTGAGATCCTACAATTCACGCATTCATTTAAAAAAACTCTTGTGCAGATTCGTTAACACAGCTCGGTCCTCATTCCACTTTTAAATTTTTTTAAATAAATGCCTTAACAACTACATATCCCTCCAGCCCTCCATTCAACACTTCACCAGACATTCACAAGACTATTTCAACTCTAAAAAATAAGATAAAATTACAGCAAATTTTTTTCTTACAACGAGTTTTTTACTGAAATATTGATTTTTTTTTGGTTTAAAAGTATAAAATATCCAACCTTGCAGTATGATTAGTTGAGACTGATGTTCACACCAACAACCCCCGGTTCTACATTTTCTAAAAAAGTAGAATGCTCTATTTGTATCAAAAGGAAAGTATGCGATAGATGGATATTTTTGTTGATCATGTCTTACTTGTAAAAATACATAAAAAAAGGTTAAAGTATTTAAAAAATACAAAATGTGATAAATATTAAACAAGTATCCAGGCCTGAATATGATATGATACGCGGTTCACCAAGAATTCGATCTTGAGAATCCTTGGGCAGTTTTACAACATGAGAAGGACAGTCAGTGACCACAGAATAAACTATCTCGATCTTCAACACCAGAGACAAGGCGATCAAAAATTGTTGTATTCTTAAGTCTGTCGCCCGACTCGCTCCAACCTTATGGGAAAATCGTTCCACCTGATTGGGACATCCCGTTTCACACCCATGACAAAAGTTTGAGTGGTAATTCACCAAATGAAGAACCGGTGTACCATCTGCAGTGGAAATGCGAAGTGCCCCATCAAACTCATAGAACCCAAGACGTAACTGTCCTCCTATAAACATGTAAAAGATAGATAAATATTTGTTTTATTATTTTATTATGTGTTTTATGAAAGACGAAGAAACCTGCGTGAGTTGCGGACGCCACCCGTTCAACTGAACACCCAGGATGATCCAAGAGAACACGACGGAAAAACCTAAACCAAAGAAAAGACAGGTTGTTTTTTTTTATATATTTTTATAAACAGACACACTCACCCGCGAACTTTATAGTGTTCTGAAAGAAACACTCTCTCTCGTGAATGAATCTTTTTAAAGACAACCTCACTGGACGGCGAATTTTGCAGCCTCCGACAATAGGAGCCAAGATCGACAAGATTATCAGGAGACAATCTAGGCGTCCTACCCTTTATAAAAGCTTGATACCCAACAGCAGGACCTACAAGGATATGAAAGATAAACGTGTATTGGTAAAATAAATACAAAATAAAATCTAAACCACCCCCTACCTACTGGTAATGGTTCGGAAGCTGCAGTAGCATACTGACTGACAATGTCATACACACGAACCTGTTTAACTAAAAAATAAGGTAACAATTTTTATCTAGACCCGTTTTTCAGATATATTTTATTTATTCAACCTGGTTGTTCAAACTCCAAAGGGAAAGACTCCCGCAGCACGGTGTAATTTCTCCAGAAGGGATGGGAAGGAGGAGTCTGCCCATTCAGATGTTGATTAATCCGGTAGTCAGTGTTGTTCTCTCCGCCAATTTTGCCCCTGACATGTGCTGAATAGATGATAAAAAAATAAAAAAATAAAAATAAAAATTGAAAAAGATAGGTTTATCCTACCAGCTGTGTAACCACCCAACACTGCTCGGTTTATGATAGAATCTAACATACCCTTGTTCATCGCCATTGGGGCTGAAATATAAAAAAAATTACCACCAAGATATCCGTCCCGTGTTCTTTAGATGTATTTTTTATTTCTCCTACCTATATGCTCAACGCTGTTCAAATGAGAAAAGGTGTAAAAAAAATAGAACCCAGCCTATAAAAAAAGGTTTTTTTATCCGCTTACAATAAAAAAATAAAAATAAATTTTTATTCATTATTTTTTTATACCTTTGAAACAGTAAAGAATCGAGAGAGGATCAAGTTAATTCCCCTCTCACGCCACTCCGCCCAAAGACGCCAAAAGACAAAATTCAGAACAGAGACGTCCTTCTGATCCCCAAAGAAACACAAAATCATTAGTTTTTAGAATGGATATTTTAAAAAACATCTCGAGAGGTTACCTGTAAATAACACAACAAGTATTCATAGCGCGATCCATAACCACGCTCTTCAAACTCTCTGAGGGAACGTCGAATATCCTCTATTGACGGACGTACTCCGGACAAATCATTCCTCCACTCCGGAGACATCTCGTCAGGTAGTGCTGATGTATTTTGAAGAGTCCAGAGACAGGCGTTTGAGGAGTGAGGGAATAAACCCTTCCCCCCCTCCCCATCTAATCCATAACGCTTCCCCAATCCGTCCAAAGATATGGTAGGCTCAACCAACTGCCTGACATCCCTACAGGTTAGATAAACCTTAGATTTGGCTTTATCATTACCAGTCCAGGTGATGTTAAGGGAATTAATGATAGTTCCACGTCGAAAGGTCTTCACGCTACACCCATGCTTGCGATCCAAGGTATACCGGTAAATAAACGCGAGGAGGATTGGTAAATCGTATCTGGATCCGTTAAAACTAAAAATGATAAAAATAAATAGGTGGTTTAAAACAAAAAACGAACAAAAAACAAAAAAAAAACTAAATACATTAGTTATACCTCAACAGGAAGACTTCCTCCTTCAGGCGCTGTAGTCCGCGGTCTAAGTTGTGTAGTATACACCGAGAGTTACGCCGTGGAAATCTTGGTCCAGCCGACACAAGCTCACGAGCTGCCTTCACCCGGGCGCAAATATTATGCAGTAAAAAACTCTTGATGAGACAAACTCTCAAGACATACGTGCGTAGTTGATTTAAAAATTTTACTGTCATAAGTAAAATATCCCGATTGTTAACAGGGTCACCAGTTGTGACTTCCCTAGCAATACCCACGGTTTTAACCCGATCTCTAATCTGTGCCGATGAATCATACTGATCTTGCAGGCGCGTAGCAAACAACTGCCTAGCAGCGGGAGAAGATTTCCGAACAAGCTTGGAAACAAATACATTGGAGACACGCCGCAAGGCTTTACCCGTTAACTCCAAAACCAACTTAAATCCCAGAGTCTCCAGAGCAACGGTCTCCAACCAGTCTAAATCCAGAGCAGAGGCGTAACCTAAAAAATTGTCATATATTTTTTGTTGCTGTTTCAAATCTGTAAAAAAATAAACTCACCGATTAGGAAGGGGAGTTGGACTCCATACATAATGCTGCTGTCCTCAAATCCGTCAGTGACATCACAGGCCAACTGTAAACTAGGAGCCAAGGGCCCCACTCCAGGAAGAGGGGAAACAGGGACAGAGAGACTGACTCAAAAGTACAGTTAGACTTAAGAATAGTAAAAAATACACAAAAACTTTTACCTTTCAACATCAAAGAACACACAACTCAACCGTGTGCAGAGGTCCAGATCTCGTTCGACATCCTGAGTCCACAGCCCCAATAAACGTAAATTGGAGATGATATCAGCGGGGGCCTCATCCTGACCCACAGGTTGGGCCAACTGTTTTGGTGGTAGATTCCGAAAAAGGATATCACCACTTTCGCAAGGACAGGTGCTCGGAGACCCTGCATCTTCTCCAGCAGGTCTTCTCCCGCGTCCCGTACAGAAATTCTCTGGAGGGATGTGCAATTGTGCACCAGCACTCCTTTTGAATTTAGATAACTCGATCGCACTCTCTGATAGATATAGAAACTGGGGACCCGAGGGACCCATCTGAACTAGTACTCCACGACAAGACTGAATGCTAGCCCCACCCCATGCCCCAGCACACAGCAACCCTGTAAACTCCCTCAGACTCTGGGCACTTACGTATTCCAAAGTAAAAAAGAACTGGAGTCGGAAATCTCGATTGGATTCAAAGGCTCTGGTCCGGACAATCTCCATCAGAGGTTGATCCTCGAACTTCAGCTGCGGGTACATGAGCTCTAGCCTCGCTTGAAATCTCTCAGGACATTCCCACGAATGTAGGTCGGAGTGGACGACATTAAATCTCTCTAGGAACTCAGCAGGTCGTAGGACATGAAACGATTTAGCCGTCCCAGTAATAGACACATAGATACAAGGTTTGGACGTAGGGTTGTAGTAAGCCCAAGAGGTTATAAAAGTACACTTTAGATGCACGCTGTTCACCTTGTCTCCTATACATCCTAGTTTGCACTTGTCAGCATTCACCAAACGGAGCGAAACCCGTGCCCCAATCGCCAACCTGTCCAAGACCGCTGTTAAATTGTCCTCTTTGAAGGACAGTCCATTTACACGGAAAAGACAGGTTTTAATCCACTGATGTAAAGGTACCAGATGTTGACCCGGAAGCTGAGACTTCAGATGACAGGCCACACTGCTCAGGTGACGAGACACTCGTTTAAAGAAACGACAGCCCCACAAATCATCTCGACCTGGTTCAACCAAAAGTTGACCCCCACCCTCATTTTCCAACCAAAAAAGTAGACTTTGCCTAGAAACACAAATCATCTGAAATAAAAAAACGTACCAAAATTGAAGGCGGATGTTAGTAATCATTTTTTGAATTTTTTGTTTAAAGAAGAAATCCCCACGAGTTCGGAACCATTCTGGGTGGAAGAAACTGTTGAAAAGTCCACGGCAGTGGCGTCAATGACCGTCCTCCCACTCCAAACGTCTTCGTTAAGAGTAGTCCCCAAGGCAGGAAGACTAAAAACAGCAAAACTACAAGGGAATTTATTTTTTATTTAGAAAAGAAAAAAAATATCAAGCACTCACGCGTTGAAGACAGACCCACTCGAAGCCAGACCATAGTATTCAAAAGAGTAAATAGCAACCTAGGAATTAAAAAAAGATAAAAAAAAAACAAAAAACAAGCTTATGATTAACTTTTTTTTTTTTTTTTTTTTTTTTTTTTTCATCCGTACCTGATGTTGAGAATGTTGTGCTTTGCAAAGTAGACTCATAGCAAACGCTGGACCCCGGGTCCGGGGATAGCCCGAAGTATGAAAAGATTCGCGACAACCAAGAGTCTTAGGTCTAATAAATAACATCTCATAAAATAGATTCCCCATTCTTTTAAAAAAAGTATATATATACCTGACTAGGTTAGGCGTCCGGGCACCCAACTGATGCATAACACACGTCTTCTGCTCGTGCCCAGGTTCGAGTCGGGACCAGATCAGGTTGGAGATAACAGAAATCTCTGTTCGGATAGGTGGAGAGGAGATGTCCATCGGTTCTAGGAGGTAGACAGTTTCAGCTAGAACACTCTTGGACGACTCTTGCCCAAAGTTACGGAAGGACTGTCGCTTTCCACTCATGAGTGGGAACTGATGGAATACGTCATACAACCCCAACAAAGCAAACTCTGGCGCATCCTTCATCTTGAATGCGTTATGCCGCTTGAGATACTAATAAGAAAAAAAACATAGAATTTGAAAAAATCTCATCTCCGTTCATAATGTTTTTCTATTTGTTCACCTCAAAAAACAGAGTGAAAACCTCGTCACTCATGACTATCTCGATTTTATTAAAGGATTTAACAAGTCCCCGTCCATAGGCAGGAAAACTTCCTATCAACGCAACACTCCGATCCTAAACCAAAATAAAAAAAACTTTTGAACGGTTCGTGCTATTATTAAACATTTGTGTGAGAAAAAAAAACGTATTCAAACCCGTTTCCACAGATCGGAGAGAAAACCCACAACCCATTCAGGGAGGTAAGCACGCAATAGAGGATCAACAGGACAAGGTTGAACAGCGAAAGGGCGGGTTCCCCCGCGCCCAGCCCAGGAACATCCTTCCCGATTCCGTTCCAAACGGAAAATTGAATCCATATCTGAAACAAAGAAGTTGATTTTTTTGATTTGTTTGGTTTTAGGGTAAAAAAAACATTTTGTGCCCTAAAGAATGTCCGAGGTCAACAAGACCCCATAGAAATTGGCAGAAGGACAGTGTCTCTGCACATCTTGGATGTAGGCTAGTCTGGAGAGAGTGGCTTCTCGCTTCTCGAGTCCAGAGGCCTCCGGTCCCAAGTACTCTACCATCCCTCCGCCAAACATCTCCCGACAGGTAGTTAACAAAAACTCTAAACGCTCAGGATTCAGGGAAACTACTCTGTTGTAGCAGTCGGCCGGCACAACTCCGGCAGTGAGAAAGAACCCTCTTTGGTACTCCATCAAGTGAACCATTTTAGCGTAAGATTGAGCTAAAATCTCATTCCGATCCACATTCTCAACCATCACCAACCGCTCCAGCAGACATCTAACAGTAAAAAAACAATAACAAATTTAAACATACAGAGGTAATAAATAAAACTCACCGGTTACAACAACTTGAGGATTGACCCCCCACACAGTGAGGACAGAGGGAATTGATGCAGGCTACAACTTTGATAACAAATACTCGAAATGGACGAACATCACCAGCCATCGGTTCTAGAAATTCTGCCATTTTTTTGTAACCCACCTGAAATAATAAAAAAAAAGTTGAACTCAATGCAAGGCCAGAGACCAGGGTTGACAAAGCCTACATTCAAAAGTACAAAAGAAATCTAGTCCAGGTGTGAAAACGGCAGAATCGCTGGAACAGACACGCCACATCTCCTCCGGAGGAGTGATCACATGAGTTGGATGACCCCTGCCTTCCTGCCAGGAATTCAGAAAGTCTTCAAAAGACACATCCATTGTTGGACAACCTACCACCAGACATCGGATATACTCCAGCACCGGTGCAAAGCAGTACTTGAGATCCAGCAGAGTGAAGTCAAAGGCGGGATCATAGGTAAAGTAAATCCCAGGGGATGCATTAACCTGCTTGTTGGGACGGAAGAATAATATCGGAGGGAAGCGAGGAGTTTGTTCACCCACTTTAATTTGCCGACCAGCCAACAGGTGGTTGGCTTTCTGAGCCATCCATCCGTAGAACAGCATAATATCAGACTGCGAGAGTTCAACCAAAAGATCACTAAAAAAGGAGTATAAAAAGGCGTGAAAAAAAAATCAAGTACAATAAATAAAATTATTAAAAACCCACCGTATATTGACCCGTCTGGTTTGTCCACACAGACGGATAAGGTTTAGCAAACTCCGGATCCGGTCCTCAGGGGGTATATAACTTAATATCTGAGTTAGAATATGAGGCGGAAAGGCGGTCGAAATGAGAGGACCAGGATCCCCCCAGACGAGTGAATCCATATTTGCGATAGAAAGACAGAAATATCGAGATGGCTGGAGCCGCTGACTTCGACAGGTTCTCTTCTCTTGACAACGCAGAGAGCCAGGAACGCCTATAAAGGAAAAAATAGGTGAGAAAGTAAACCAAACCACAAAAATATAGCGAATCCTCACCCTTGACGTGTTCGGTGTAAGCATTTTTGTCCTCCCAGCATAGAATTTCACGAAGCACAAGGCGAGGATCCCTCGCCAAGGAAACCAAGGAGGTCGGCAGGGTGGCGTCAACCTCCTCACTAGGTTTGGTTGTAACCCTTAACACAAAAAATAAAAAAATAAAAACACGATATTGATCGTTGTGTTCCTATTACCTAAACCGTATTCTGGGAACAGGTAAGATGAAGGAGGCGTAGTTCTCCCGCCAATGCACACACCCTTGCCCGGCACCTCTACTCCAAGCGGAGAATAGATCGGGTGTTCAATTGTTGACGGGTTTCTGGCCAGTTAAAGCTCACCCCCTCATCAACAGTCTCCCAAACCGTCTCAGGAACTCGGTCTCCTACCCATATCTCGTCACGTGTTGGGAAACTCTCGTGAAGGAGATTTCTTACGGCATTCCAGCCTTCAGGAGCTCGAACCCAACCCGCTCCCCACTCAGCAGCACTAAACAACAGAATATACGCGAATAAGTGTGCAGGGCATGAGTGTTATTTATGTTGGATCTAAAAAGTCTTTCATAAGCCCAACAACCTGTGCCATGATGTGGTGAGAACCAGCGTTAGAGTGTCCGGATGAGCGCTGAGAAGATCTCTGGCTCCACTCAAGTATTCCCAAAACTCTCCCAAAACTTGGTAAGGGTTCTAAAGAAGAAACAATAAAAATTCCCATCCCAACCCCCCTTTTATTAATTTGTCTTGCCTGAAAGGAGGGAACAAATCCTGGGGGAGCAGTTATTCGTCCACTCGGAAAATCTGAGAACGGGGGGGTAGGGGAGGTGGGAGAAGCAGCATGTCGGCTAAATCTTTGGCCAGTCTGACCATGTCAGCCTCCTCTACGGAGGATGTGTTTACCCTGATAACCCGGGGGTTTCCCCGCCCCAACCACTCGTCATGAAACTCATGAAGCCTCTCCAGGTAACCCAGAGTCACGCGTCCCCCCTCTACCCCACCCCGTTCCAGAACTCTGTTGTAGGCCGTCTCCGGATCGCACTCAACATAGACAATCCTCTGAGGGTTTAGATGAGGCCACATGGAGAGGTGAAAACTGGTCCCACAATTCTAAAAAACAGAGAGGAATTGCCAAGGTGTTCAAAGTCATCCATCACCCCCCTTCATACCCACCAAAATAGCCGCTTCCACAGGTCGAAGTTGAGATTGAACCAGCATTGCAGGAATGAAACACTGACGGGCACTCATCAGACTGCGTTCGTACAAGCCTATCTCCCGCCGACATCGGGTGCGTGGGATATCTCGGCGCAACAAAGTCTGACTTATCAATGTTTGAGCTAGGAACCCGGACCCAGGTTCACCAGCATAGAACCCCTCCAAAACATTGCCCAAAGCCTCCCACTCGTCCAAAGGTTCGGGATAAAAGCGAAACCGCTCGGGCGCTTGGGCTGTTACCAACTTTATCAAACTGGTTTTCCCTGCGCCGATGTTCCCTTCAAAACCAACGCGCCGAGCCATTTTTTTTGGATTTTTGTTTTGGTTTTTTTTTTTAAGTAAATGGTCTGAAATAAAAAAAGAACTATTTTAAAAAAAATTTGGGATACATTTTTTTCCCCTTCTCAATGATAAAGCTGATGACACCTGCTTCTCGCTCTCCACCACCCCGACCTTCCCACCTAGGATCATGAGTTCTCTTTGATACAGGCTGCACTCGCGTGTAAAATCAACCAGGATCTGACAGGCCAGTCGGCGTGCAGCAGCACTTGTATTATCATAGTCTAAAACAACGGCCATCCTGAATCTGGAACAGTTAAAACATGTTAACCAACTCTACCCACAATCGAGAGGGAGGACCACACGGTATTCTGACACCGTTGGCGTCGAGCAGACTGTAATAAGACCAGGCTCCCAGGCCTTCGATGTTCTCCAGCTTGAGGGTTGGTTGATGAACCAGTTCGAACCTGGGTCCCCTGGGTTCTACCAGGGCTATCATAGGTAGAGTCCAGGTAGGTTTTAAAAAGTTATCTCCCATACCCCATGTTTTTAAAATTTTTAAAAAAAATTTTTTAAAGAAAAAAGAACAAAAAAAAACTAAGCCCCCCTGAAGGCGTCTGAGCTCATTTATTCTTTTAAAAATCTGAAACAGGGCAAGGATTTAGTCTAGATCTGTGCAGGTCCCAATATCAGTGCTCATCACACATGATGGCACAACAACCACCTGGGCCAAGGGTTGGCCAATACAAATCCGAACAGGATGAGTTCTCCGACAATCTAGGATCAGGTCTACAGTTCCACACGTTTGATTAATAGGTAACAACATAACCTTTAAGTCCACACCCAAGGCTGATAATTCCGGACGGGGGACCACCAATCCAAAGGTTTCTGGTCTAAGTCGAGATGTGTATGATGTCCGAACCGTGGTGAGGGTGTTGGGAAGCAACTCAAAACTGAAGCTAGCCAAAACTACTTGCCCGACATACTGGGGAGGTTCCCAACGCGAGCTCAGAGGGAGTCGGGGTTGCTGGAGCTGTTGTTGTGCCATCCTCATTTGTTTCTGAAAAAAAAAAAGAAAAAAGCTGGTGCATAAAGCGTGCCCGGCACCTCTACTCCAAGCGGAGAATAGATTCAGAGAGACTACCATACCTAGTCAGGGATGTGACTTTTGTATAATATTATTACGTAATTTCTATTAAAAAGAGCCAAAACCTCTAGGCAAAATTTGCGTAAAAAAGGTAAAAAGTGATGTTTAAATAGCACTCTTGGCTAGCTGAGACCTTTTGTTATTTTTTTTGTTTATTATTTAGTTTTTTTTTTCAACTTACCCAGCACCGGATTGACCGCTGGACTGTCAAAAGACATGTTATCCCCCCTTCCAGAACACAGCCGCTGCCGATTTGTTGGGTAGGTAGGCTGCCGGTATCTGAAGTCCCCTGACGAGCTTGAGTTTTCTCAAGACTCGCAAAATTTTTTCTTGTTGCGGCCGACGTCGTCTGGCTACCTGTCCAGGACCGGAGGGAGGAGGATCAGAGGTTGAAACGTAGCGTAGGACGTCTATCAAGGGTATTCCGTCCAAGTGGTCCGTATCCGGTCCGATCACCTCTTTGAGCCGCAAATAGTTTAAAAGACGGGCAGCCTTCTTGCCCCAAGGGAAGTCTTGCAACTCCTCCAGGAGATGTGCTTGGAAGGCTGCGTCCGACCCCTGCCCCCCCTCCCCTCCAACCACACCCACAGTCGTAGGACAGGTCTCCTCAATCGGGTGGATGACGTAGGTTGTGTCACTCTGATACACAGGGTGTATAAAAAATAGTTTGATGCTCAAGGCTCGTGCCTCCCCGAGTTTACATTTTTTTAAATTTTTTTTTTTGTATACACCCCCGCCTTGAACATCTGAGTGTGACCCCCTTGGAGAAGAGGACACAGGTCAGCAATCATCAACCGCCTGGTCCAATCCACCAGACCCAGGGGGTAGGCGGGGTGACCTCCCCTCCTCCTCACTGCTTCAAACCCCGGCAGAAAGTATGAACACCCCTGGTCGGGAGCTAGCTTCTTCAAATATTGCCAAGAGTTGTTGGAGTAAGTGAAGAGAATCAGGGGCGCAGTACTGATTTCGTTGAACAGATTGGTCTGTTTTTAGGAAAAAAATAGGAGAATTATACGCCTGCTAATTTATGATAATAAACGCTCCTCACCTTGATCAACCCGTGTACCACCAGCAGGAGGGTGATCCGAGAGTGACGAGCAGTAAAATTGATGACACGGTTCAGAGCTTGGGTGTTCCTACCTCCTTTCGGACAAACAAAGTCGTCTAAAAGTATGATAAAATACAACAACAAAAAAATCAAAAACCCCAACAGCCCTACTCACCATAGAAACACAAAGAGTTGGGAGGAAGCTTCTCCAGTTCCGAGGGGACCACTTGAAAATCCCGCGGCAAAAAGTTGAGCTTGTGATTCAAACTCGTGCTTTGAAAATCCGCAGGATCCGAGGTAACCACAAACACACCTCCCGCGCAGTTGAGGTTGGGCAGGAGGTTGTCCACAAAGCCCCTGGTCTTGCCAGTGCCTAAGCGTTTAAAGTAAATACAACCAAACACCAATACCAGAACAAAAACAGCCACACCGTACTGTAATACTCACCCGAATTGCCCAAAACAAACAGAACTTTGTGCTCAAGGTCTAGGATGTCGTCCAGACTGTACCGAGGCACGGGAGGAGTCACCATTGGGTGTGCTGCATTTTTTATTATTTTTTATTTTCGCTCTGAAACACAATCACAAGTCAGCGGTTTTATAAAAAAAAAGAGAAGAGGAGCAAGGGTTCGTTCTACATCGAGTGTTGCCTCACCAGTTTAACCGGTGCAGGCTCATCATCATCATCCACCCGCACCTCTTCATCAGAATCATCATCATCCTCATCAACCTCAACGGGAGGAGTTGGGTCGGTGACAGCTAGCAGAGGAGGGTGTTGAGACCCCCTCCTTCGTTTTTGACCAACAGAAGAACGACGATAGACAGGATTGTTGTGCACAACCCCCTGCGCCTTCAGAGCTTTGGTATACTCTCCCTGACCCTGCCTTCGCAACCATCGGATAAAAGAACAGGCCGGCAACCTGCAACACGAAACCTTTTTGTTTCTTTGGGGGGGGGTTTCCATCTCTCTTACCTGATGTAAGAGTAGTTCTTGATACTCTCGATCCGCGCCCTTTCTCGCTCAAGATCAGCTGGCTGGGCGAGTCCAGGTGGAGGAGGCAAGGTTTCAATCACCCCCGGAGCAAACCGGTAGGTCAACACAATCCCACGCTGATCCACCAGTTTAAACTTGGACAGTTCTTCGTCGCTGTAGTACTGAACACCCACCTGAAGTAAACATTACAAAAACTTATGTAGTTTGTTTTTGTTTTTTTTGATGAGGCCTACCTCCAGCTCCACCAGATCAGAGTGAGTCTTCAAGGAGGCCACACGATGGAGGGTGTGAGAATCCTCAAACTCGATTGAGAATTTCTCCAGTTTGGCTTGGGTGCTGACCATCCAAGCTTCCAGACTGTCCAGAAACTCGGGGGACACCAAAGACTCGAAGGAATGCATGCACAGCGGCATGCATTCGTGTTTAGTCATGGGTCCTTTGGCTCGACCCAACATAATAAAATGATGTTGAAGGAGGATGAAGGATTGGTCGCTACCATGATCAAACATGCCGATGGCATACTTTTTCAGGAATTCAGCCAACCCTTTCACTTGGGCAGTCATGGTTCGCTGCTCCAGATCCCTCGTCCAAACCGCGTTATAGGCATGACGGTCACAGGGGTCATGGGACAACTCGGATCTAAAAAACAAAAACAAAAACGAAAAAACGCCATCAACACCATTTTCTTTTTTTAGAGGTTATGCTCACCCAAAGCTGGTGACAGCATACTTGTTGACACGGGCTGCGCCCACCTCAGCGACACTAGCCGGGTTTTCAAAGACAAAAGCAGCAGCTGGCATTTTTTTCTCTGAAACAAAAAAGACCCGTAAAAATCTAGTGGGTCGAGGTCGACGTATTCTGCCAAGAGAAGGTTTCGAAAGACCCCACAAATTTCCCCTGGTGAAAT